ACTAACACTTTTATTTTCATATACATGTATATACCTATTCTTTGTTAGATTTTTTCTTTACGGTTTATTGCAAGATATTGTGTATAGTTTATTATGAGCTATTGTGCTCTATAGTAAGTCCTTGTTGGTTACCTATTTTGTATATAATAGTGTATATATTTTAATCCCAAATTCCTAATTTATCCCTCTCTCCCTTCTTTCCCTTGCTAGACATGATGGACTGGCACTCAACTGCCATTTTACCTTCTTTCTGGAATGCGCCTTCCCATACTGCAGAGCCTAGAAGCTCCCTCGCAGCTCTAATCGTGAATGTGAATTGGGTTCCCACTCTTGGAGGCTGCTCGCTGAGATTGGGAAGGGCAGGAAGAGGGAACCCCTGGGTCTGCCTTTCGGCTGTTTCTGCTGTCAGGAGGGTCATGATGAGTGTGAGGCGTTGCTGCAGGAGTGCTTCAGGTGTGACCACTGGCCTCCCAAGGTGGGTGAACGTCACAGCCACCCTGGCGTTGGCTCAGTGTTCAGGCATCACTTGTTTGGGGGCTGGGGGCAGGAGCATAGCAGCGTGCGTGTCCGTAGCTCGGAGCAAGAAGAGTTGGTTTCTCTGCAGTGAGCGGAAGGTCCAGGCTTCATTTTCAGTGCCGCACCTCTAACTGTGGCAGAGTTATAGCAGCTTCCCCAGGGCCATTGGCATCTTAAAAAAATTTTTTTTTTAATCTTTTAAAAAAATTTTATTAAAAATTTTTTTATTGAGAAGTAGTTGATTTATAACACTGTGTTAGCTTCAAGTGTAAAGTGAAGGTCAGGAAGGCCCCCTGGAGAAGGGAAAGGCTACTCACTCCAGTATTCTTGCCTGGAAAATCTCATCGACAGAGGAACCTGGTGGGCTACAGTCCACAGGGTGGCAAAGAGTCAGATGTGACTGAGTAACTAACACTTTTATTTTCATATACATGTATATACCTATTCTTTGTTAGATTTTTTCTTTACGGTTTATTGCAAGATATTGTGTATAGTTTATTATGAGCTATTGTGCTCTATAGTAAGTCCTTGTTGGTTACCTATTTTGTATATAATAGTGTATATATTTTAATCCCAAATTCCTAATTTATCCCTCTCTCCCTTCTTTCCCCTTTGGTAACCATATGGTTTGCTGCTATTTTTAAGATGGTTTAGTTTGCTCATTGTTGTTATTTATTTTGTTTTCTAATTTTTTTTTAAGACTTAGAACATTTTTGAATTGAACTATAGTTGGTTTACTATAGTTAACGTGTTAGTTTCAGGTGTACGGCAGAGTGAATTCAGTTGACATCTTGTTCTGGGAGTTATTTCAGGAGGACCGGCTCTATCATCCAACCCTTCTGACAAGTTTTATATGTACCTGGTTCCGTATAAGAAGTTGTGTTCTGCTTGAAATAGTGGTTTGTGTTTCTTGTAAATGAGTGTGTCCAATGCGGCAGGTTTAACAGCTGTGCAAATAAGTTGATCTGACTGTGGGCTCATTAGAGGATTTTCTGGTTTTTGCTTGTAGGTACAGCTAACACTTGTCTGTGGCCATTTGCCCCACTCATTGGAAGAGTTGGGAATGGGAGGAAGCCTATAAAGAGAACTTTTACCAAAGTGAGTGGAATATGAAACAGCCATATCAGAGAGAATAGCAGTTTGCTAGATCATTTCTTGGGAGTGTTTTCTCTAATTTTCACTGTTGTTGATTCCTCTGTCTTGAAATCTTCTGTTCCCTCTGTTTCCTTTTGTATCCTTGAAGGTCTGCATTCTTTTAAGTCAGTTTATTTGGAGCTTTCTGCCCTGTGAATATTTCTATTAATATATAAGCCCCTCATATAGTCAAGACTGGGGCTTCCTTGGTAGCTCAGTGGTAAAGAATCTGCCTGCAATGCAGGAGACCTGGTTTCGATCCCTGGGTCAGGAAGGTCCCCTGGAGGAAGGCATAGCAACCCACTCTAGTATCCTTGCCTAGAGAATCCCATGGACAGAGGAGACTGGCAGGCTGTAGTCCATAGGGTCGCACAGAGTTGGACATGACTGAAGTGATTAAGCATCACCAGCATAGTCAAGGCTATGGTCTTCCCAGTGGTCACATATGGTTGTGAGAGCTGGACCATAAAGAAGAAGTGTTGGAGAAGACTCCTGAGAGTCCCTTGGACTGCAAAGGGATCAAACCAGTCAATCTGAAAGGAAATCAACTCTGAATACTCATTGGAAGGACTGATGCTGAAGCTGAAGCTCCGATACTTCGGCCACTTGAAGTGAAAAGCTGACTCATTGGAAAAGACCCTGATGCTGGGAAAGATTGAGGGCAGAAGAAGAGGGCATCAGAGGTTGGATGGCATCACGGACTCAATGGACTTGAACTTGGCAAACTTCGGGAGCTGGTGAGGGACAGGGAGGCCTGGTGTGTTGCAGGCCGTGGGGTTGCAAAGAGTCAGACACAACTGGGCAATTGAACAATGAGAAGCCCCTCACTGTTAACTTCTGAATACAGGAAAATTATCCCGATGCCAAAATCATGGACTTCTTTTTCTCCTGTGCCATTTCATTCCAGGGCAGTGTAAATGCTATTTTACTTTTGTCATTTGCCAATTGAAAAAGGAGTAGAAAAATCACTTTTACATTTGAGAATTGCATCATAGACATACTCAAAACTGTGAAATGTTGGCTGTATCAGGAACCTTGGCCATCAGATGGAATCTGTTCCTCTCTCCATTTTAAACTTAAAAAATTTTTTTTTTAAAAAATTTTATTTTTTGGTCATACCATGTGGCATGTGGGATCCTAGTTCTCCAACCAGGGATAGGACCTATGCCCCCTGTGGTGGAAGCTTGGAGTCTTAACCACCGGACCATCAAGGAATTTCCTTCCCCATTTTAAAATTAGTAAACTGAGGTCCAAAGAGATGTGCAAGGAAATGCTTCAAGCTCACAGGGTTACTTGGCAGAACTTGGCTCAGAGCATGGGGCGATGACTTTAAGAAGAATTCTTCCCATCCTGACACATGGCTGCACTCATAGAAAAACATTGGGTTTGATTTGCCAATTTGTTATATTTGAGCATGAGCACATAATAAGGGATAGATGCAGGTTTTTTACTGTCTGTTTTTAGTACACATACATGCATTAACTGAGATGATTTCCTAAATAAAATAATGTTTTCTAACCCTAACAAATGGCATATGGGTGCTCTTTTTGAGCAGGACTACTGCAATGCTAAAATCATACATAAACATTTGCTGAATATTTAATATAGATGGTTAACTTCTAGCCATTGATTTTGGCTGGTATTAATTATCATCATTATTTACTTAAAGAGCAATAGAGATATGGAGGATAGTTTAGGAGAAGTCAAATATCATTCTAGAAGGTCAAAGGCAAGCTGGCTCCATTCCGTCTGGTTGTGGTCCAAATGTGCCAGAAGGTATGTAGAACTGAGTTAACCCGAGAAAAATAATGTTCCAAGGGGGTGACCAGTGAACCCATAGCAAGTTGCCCACGGTTCAGTGAACTTTGCGGAATTTTTAGAAAATGAGAGTTTAATGAATTCCAGATGGGGAGATTATTAGTTCTACAGAGTTTTGAATCTTCTTTACAGAGCATGTAGAACAGCACTCTATTTGGGTTGGTTCTTTGGAGAAGCAAAATTAATAAGATGCGTGTATATACAGAAAGGGATTTCATATAAGCAGTTGGCTCACAGGATTTTGGAAGCTAACAAGTTCCAAGATCTGCAGTCGGCAAGCTGCAGACCAAGGAGAGTTGCTAGTGAGCTGCCAGGGCTGTTGTGATCTGGAGCTCATTGTTTAGAGTCAGATGGTTGGTGAACCTGTGTAGAGCAGGTCAGAAGGAAAGAACTCTGAGAAATGGCAACGTTTAAGAATGAGTGGGGATGAAGAGCTAGCATGGGGTCAGAATGGTAGAAGAAAAGTCAGAGGCGTGTGGCGCCAGAGAAAATAAGAAAGAAGGAGAAAGGAGTAATGTGTGTTGTCCCGCTGCTAACTGTTGCTCAAACCATCCTTGCCTTTGGGAACACGGAGGTCCCTGGTGATCTTGAAAGAGTTATCCAAATGGAGCATCACAGAAGGAAGTCAGGCTGGTGAGGGTCAAGGAGAAGGGAGCAAAGGGAACCTACAGAAATGGGTGACAGATGAGCAGGAACCCCGGGTCTATTCTAGCTTCTGAAGGATGGGTGCAGCACATGGCCGACCCATCAGAATGGGTGCAGGCTGGTAGAGACCCAAAGCTTTTGGACTGATCTCAGGCCCGACTGTGGTTCTGACGGACACACTTTCCAAATAAAAAAGGTAGGATGGACATCTAGGTTGCTTCCATGTCCTGGACGTTGTAAACAGTGCTGGACAAATTGAGGGAAGGAGAGGGTGGGACAAGCAGAGAATGTAACATCATCAACATAAACTATCAGGTATAAGACGGACAGCTGGTGGGACTTTGCTGTGAAGCACTGGGAGACCTGTCTGGTGCTCTGTGGTGACCTAGAGGGATAGGATGGGGGAGGAGAGGGGGGATAGGCAGGGAGGGGTTATGTCTAATTATGGTTGAGTTTCACTGTTGGATGGCAGAAACGGGACTTCTCAGGTGGCTCAGTGGTAAAGAACCCATCTGCCAATGCAGGAGAAGCAGGAGCTATGAGGTTGATCCCTGGGTCGGGAAGATCCCCTGGAGGAGGAAATGGCAACCCACTGCAGTATTCTTGCCTGGAGAATCCCATGGACAGAGCAGCCTGGTGGGCTGCAGTCCCTGGGGTCACAGAGAGTTGGATATGACTGAGCACACATGCACGCATGGCAGAAACCGACATAGCACTGTAAAAATTAAAAAAAATTTTTTTTTAATTAAAAAAAATAGGGAAAAAAGGCAGGGTAGCTTGTTTGGACAATACAGTCTGGCAAAAACAGATGAAAATTCTGGAACATGTGGTTGTTAAGGAATGGTCCATCCCTCTAAGGATGGCAGTTCACTGATTCACTTGGTACAGTGTATGATGGGATGAGAATCCAAGATAATGTCAAAGTCATTTGAAAGTGACTTCAAGTAAGGTTTCTTAACAGTCACACCTCTGAAATGCAGGTATTTTTATCTTTAACCTAATTTGCAGCACTTCTACAGAAAATTATTAGCTATAGAGAATAAAATGCGCTGAAAAGATGAAGCTTTCTATGTATTTTAGATAAGGTTTAAGTTTCAGCCAGCAAGACACTTCCATTAACACAAAAAATAATGGCCTTTTTCAACAAGATGACTGTCAAAAAGAAAAAATGTAGACAGTCAAATGATTTATTTCCCCATCCATACTGAGTTTATTCATGGGGAGATTCACCTTGTGAACTAATAATTTTCTGGGCTAAGAAAAAGCAGCAGGCATTTTTCTTTTGAGGAAATGCCCCCCTCTTTTTTTAATAGCGGGTTTCTTTTGGTCTAAAAAAATTATCTAAGTCTATGGCTTTCATATCAAGGAAAAGGTTTCTTTCAATTGCTTTAACCTTTTCCAAAAAGTGACCCATTGGGATAAATGTTCTCACGCTGAGAATCAAGGTTTTCTCTGATAGCAGAGTGAGAACAGGAAGCTGAACACTTTCTTGAAGTGGTTGAAGAAAAATTCGAAATCTCAGACTGAAGAAAGGAACTCTTTTGAAAGGTCAAGTTTAAGACCTGTACTTTAAGCAACTTAAAAAAATAAGGTAAACCTCTGTCTCGTGTCAGATGGGGAATGACACCAGAACAGGGGGATCAGGTCAGAGCTAGAGACCCAGGAGGCAGCTGAGAGGAAAGGTGCTGGCTGATGCTTTCTTTTCTTGGGGCAAGAAAGGACCAAATTCCTGGAGGTCAGTTCCAGGGAGGAGGTTTGGGCTAGCACAGAGGCAGGTCTGGTGGCAGGGTTCAGAGTGCTGGGGGTCGGAGTTCAGTTCAGTTCAGTTGGTCAGTCGTGTCTGACTGTTTGTGACCCCATGGATTGCAGCACACCAGGCTTCCCTGTCCGTCACCAACTCTCAGAGTTTACTCAAACTCATGCCCATTGAGTTGGTGATGCCATCCAACCATCTCATCCTCTGTCGTCTCCTTCTCCTCCCGGCTTCAATCTTTGCTAGCATCAGGGTCTTTTCCATGAGTCAGTGCTTTGCATCAGGTGGCCAGAGTATTAGAGTTTCAGCTTCAGTATCAGTCCTTCCAACAAATATTCAGGATTGATTTCCTTTAGGATAGACTGCTTGGGGGGTTGGAGTATCCAGAGCTGAACTTACATCATCGAGATTCCTGGATTTCTGATTAGAGGTGCCAGTAATCCCCTCCTTCCCTGCCTTGGATTCTTGACAGTGATGCTCAGACACCTCTGCTCAGGGAGCAGGCACCCCTGTCTTCCCCGCACTCCAGCTCCTTCCTTTGCTTCTTCACGGCCTCCTCCCTCCTGCCTCCCAGCCCCAGCCCTGCACTCACGTGGCGTCTGGTCTCTTGCACATGCTGTGGGTTTAGCAGCTCATATTCTGAACGGTGAAGAAAGCTGAGAGCTGAAAAATTGATGCTTTTGAATTGTGGTGTTGGAGAAGACTCTTGAGAGTCCCTTGGACTGCAAGGAGATCCAACTAGTCCATCCTAAAGGAGATCAGTCCTGGGTGTTCATTGGAAGGACTGGTGCTGAAGCTGAAACTCCAATACTTAGGCCACCTCATGCGAAGAGTTGACTCATTGGAAAAGACCCTGATGCTGGGAGGGATTGGAGGCAGGAGGAGAAGGAGACGACAGAGGATGAGATGGCTGGATGACATCACTGACTCAATGGACATGAGTTTGAGTAAACTCCGGGAATTGGTGATGGACAGGGAAACTTGGTGTGCTGCGATTCATGGTGTCGCAAAGTGTCGGACACGACTGAGTGACTGAACTGAACTGAACTGAACTGATTCTGTCTTGACTCACTTGGGCTCATATTCATCTCCCAATCACATTCTCTCTCTTCTTGTCTGTTTTTACCTACCTGTACCTTCTGGACCCTGACCTAGGCTAGGAATGATTTTTAAGATTTATATATATGTGCTTCTCATATGTCAGTGCCTGAAAGGTCATTCATGATAAAATCATGTTTCACCCCTTGACTTCCCTCATAGGTCAGTTGGTAAAGAATCTGCCTGTGATGCAGGAGACTCCAGTTCAATTCCTGGGTCGGTAAGATCCACTTGAGAAGGGATAGGCTACCCCCTCCAGTATTCTTGGGCTTTCCTTGTGGCTCAGCCGGTAAAGAATCTGCCTGCAATATGGGAGACCTGGGTTTGATCCCTGGGTTGGGAAGATCCCTTGGAGAATGAAAAGGCTTCCCATTCCAGTATTCTGGCCTGAAGAATTCCACAGGCTCTATACTCCATAGGGTTGTAAAGAGTCAGACATGACTGAGCGACTCTCACTTTCACTTTTCAGGTGGTATGTATAGTCTAGGAGTGTCATGAATTCCAAAACATCTGTAATCCTGCAAAGAAGGAATCTCTGGGAATTCAGGTGTATGAGTGGGGATGGGGGGAGGAAGGCTTGGGGGCACAGGCTATATGACACGTCCTATAGACATATCACACCCAGAGCTCTTCCTTCCCAGGGCAGGGACTGACTCCCGTTACACAGGTTTGCCTCCAGGCAGGTTGGCGTGGGACTGGCAAGAAGTGTGGGCAGAAGTGATGAAACCATCCCATGTGACTCTTTGGCCCCCTGTTTCCTGGCTGTGGCCGCCTTGTCGGCTGTGTGCTCTGAAGGCATATATGACTGTGAGGTGTGGTAGCACCGCCAACTCACGCTAGACTCCACAAGCAGGAGCACCTTCATGACGTGACGCCACCCCAGTCTGGGTTTTCTTGAAAATGAAAGTGTTTGTCACTCAGTCATGTCTGACTCTGCAACTCCACGGACTGTAGCCCACTAGGCTCCTCTGTCTGTGGAATTCTCCAGGCAAGAATCCTGGGACGGGTTGCCATTTCTTCCTCCAGGGGATCTTCCCAACTCAGGAATTAAACCGAGGTCTCCTGCATGGCAGGCAGATACTTGACCGTCTGAGCTTCTGTGGCATCATTTAGCTTGAACTCATCATTTAGCTTGAACATCATTAAGCTCTTCACTTTCAAGGTCTTTTTAGGAAATTTAAACACAGCAAGGGCATTTTCCTGTCACTGACTGATTCGCACATTCAGCCCCTTACTGCAGCTCACAATTTGGAATTTGGAAATCCTGAGCCGTGATGTCCTTGCCGGCATTCCCCATGACCTGGGCTCCAGCACCTGTGGCCATGATGGGCTCTATATAGAAGCTCAACAGAAAAGCAGCTTATGTCTCCTATGAGCCCTTGACCCTCATTTGCTTATGCATGCCATTTGCCTTTTTAACGGAAATGCTGCATTTATACACACATTTCTCAGCAGAGCGAAAGCAGGTCTGGATGGAGCTTAAGGCAGGTTCTTGATATGAATGATGTCCTTAAAAGACAGGAAGTCTGAGGCTGGGCTTGATGACCCCCTACCTGCTTCTCCCCGATCTGGGGACCCAGAATTCTGAGACTCCTGTTTGCCTCCATTGGCTTCTGGGTTCTATTCACCTTGTGCAGAGGAAAAGAGCTTTGGTTGGGGTTTCCCTTCTTCATGTATAGGAACCACCAGCGAGAAGCCGTTCCTGACTGTAACCATTTTGCCATCCAGCTCATCTCCTTGGGCATGACCTTGAATAATCTCCTTGAATATCCCTTGAACGATCTCCTGACTTCGGTGAGCTTCCCCTGTTGAGCCCATGAGGATGGCTACAGCTGCCCTTAGCTTGAGTGGCTTCTTCACATTAAAGGTAACTTGTCCTGGACCCTTCTCTGCAAAGCTTACAAACACAGTTCAGGTCAGTTCAGTTGCTCAGTAGTGTCCGACTCTTTGTGACCCCATGGACTGCAGCATGCCAGGCCTCCCTGTCTGTCACCAACTCCCGAAGTTTACTCAAACTCATGTCCATCGAGTTGGTGATGCCATCCAACCATCTCATCCTCTGTCGTCCCCTTCTCCTCCCACCTTCAATCTTTCCCAGCATCAGGGTCTTTTCCAATGAGCTAGTTCTTCGTATCAGGTGGCCAAAGTATTGGAGTTTCAGCTTCAGCATCAGTCCTTCCAATGATTATTCAGGACTGATTTCCTTTAGGATGGACTGGTTGGATCTCCTTGCAGTCCAAGGGACTCTCAAGAGTCTTCTCCAACACCACACTTCAAAATTATCAGTTCCTTGGTGCTCAACTTTCTTTATGGTCCAACTCTCATATCCATACATGACTACCGGAAAAACCATAGCTTGGACTAGATGGATTTTTGTTGGCAAAATAACATCTCTGCTTTTTAAAATGTTGTTTAGGTTGGTCGTAACTTTTCTTCCAAGGAGCAAGCGTCTTTTAATTTCGTGGCTGTAGTCACCATCCGCAGTGATTACAGACACAGGTACCATGAAAAGAGATGTAAGGCAGTTTGGTCATGCACATCTCTTGGGCTCTTTTTGGTCCATTTGGGAGCAGAGCTATTGCTCAGTGGTAAATAATCCTCCTGTCAATGCAGGAGACACAAGAGACTCAGGTTCGATCCCTGGGTCAGGAAGATCCCCTGGAGAACTAAATGGCAACCTGCTCCAGGATTCTTGCCTGGAGAATCCCATGGACAGAGGAGCCTGTGGACTACAGTTCATGGGGTCACAAAGAGCTGGACACGACTGACAGTGTACACATACAATAGATACACACAAGTTTGAGGCATTTGGGGCTGATTTGTCTTTCAACATTTTGTCCCCCAGTGCTTGTGATAGCAACTCCCAAACCAGCCACACGAGACATTTATTGAAGAAGCATTAACTGGTTGGCAGGCCTCCTGGTGCTCATCAACATTTTTTTATGAACTAAATGAAGGGTCATCTCCCTGCCCCTTAGATGCTCTGACTTCCCTTAGGCAGGAAGAGCCTTGAGGCTAATGCCACCTATGTGGAGGCCAGTGCTATCACCCTGATTGCTGCATCAGGCAAGCAAAGACCTCCAAGTTTCAGGTTCCATGGGGGAATTTAGGGCAGTTGCCACATATCTTCCTATGGACAGGGTCCAGGCATCATATGATTCATGCATTCTCTTCCTGCAAGCGTGGAGACATTTTCTTAAATATTTCAACCATTGCACCTATCTTGAATACCTTTAAGGTCACCATATGCAGCTCATTTCTAGCAGCCAACATGATAACTTATAGGCCATTAATTTCACTTATAGGAACATCTTTGCTATTCCATCAAGCCTTGTTTGATGACAACAGAAGTGCCTGCAGTAGCCACCCTGGGGTCTGGGTTTCCTGAGCAGATCACCAGTGGTCCACCTTGAGTTCTTGTGCTCTTGACAAGGATGCTGGCAGCACACTTCCATCATGTGGTGCATCTGGAGTATTTTAAAGGGAAATCCAGACATGGAGATGGTATCAGGTGACACCAACACGAGGAATAGCAGCTAACATGTAGGGTTTTGTCACTATTCCCCATATCTTCTGTGTATCATCTCATGTAATTCTCACAATAACCTGGCAGAATTGTCTTATTATTTCTCTCTTTCAGGTAAGAACACTGAGGCTCCAAGAACATCTATACTTTCCCAAGGTCAATAGGTGGTAAGTGCAGAGATACTGACCCCAGCGCCTGAGCTCAGAACATCTCCGCTGCCCACTGGATTGGACCCAAAGTGAATAACCTATCAGCTGGTGAGACCTATGGCCAGCCTGGCAAATTTCAGGAACTGGGTGAGGGTGTCCTCAGGGTGATGTCTGGACCTCATTAAACTGCTGGTCTGACTCCTTGAGACCCTGAGGCTGGGAAAGAGTGAGGGTATAAGGAAAAGGGGGTGGCACAGGATGAGGTGGTTGGATAGCATCACTGACCTGAGTTTGAGCAAACTCCTGGAGATAGTGAAGGACAAGGAAGCCTGGAGTGCTGCAGTCCATGTGGTCAGAAGGAGTCGGACACGCCTGGACGACTGAAAAATGGCAACAACCCAATGATAAGCGACCAGTGCAAAATGTGTTGATAAAGGTGCCAGGGATCTCGAGAGAGTCTGTTCAGGTGAGGAGATGAGGGTTGAGTTGAGGTCATCTTACAGCTGCCCAAAACACTGGCCCAGGCTGGTCCTCCAGCTGTCCCCCTCAGAGGAGCCCCGCCATGGACACAGCCATCCAGGAGTTGTGGGCAGGGTGCTGCTTATGTGTACTGGTGTCTTCCTTGCCTGCCTGGGCCATGGGAGTTGATCTTGGCGTGTCCCCTTGGGGTCTCTTATCCTCTTGGGGCCACTCTGTGGATCCCGAGGAAGTCTTTTTTTCCGGGCTTCACCTTTCTTCTCTGTAACAGCCATTTGCATCAGTGCAATTTATTAATGAATTTGATGAACTTCAGTTCCTCGAACATTTTCATTTAACTCATCATTTATGAGACTCGTATCAGCATACATGGAATGACTGTTTTGGTTGGGGCGTGGTGGATGAGCGCGACCCAGTCTCTGGGGCCAGATGGGTCAAACTCTGGCTTGGCCATTGTCAGGCAATTGATTTGCCGTATCTGTGCTTTGGGATCTTTCTCTCAGAGTAGGGATAAAATGGTATATGCCTCATAGGAATGTTGGAGGAATAAATGAGTTAATCTATGAGAGGATTCGCTCCTCAGCTAGATCAACTGAATGGCTTTATGTTAAGGTTTAAGTAACAATCTTTGTTTCTAGAATTTTTTTCTTTTTGACCATATGGTTTGCTGGTTGGACAGTGCTGGCAAATGTGGGAAATGTTTCTTAGTGGTAGAGGATTGGGGGGAAGGTGGATGGATGGGGAGAACCCACTGAAAGTGGCGTGAAGACATGCCTCATTGGGGAACACTAAACGCGATCGGGGATCTTTAAGCCATTGCTGACTGGCTTAGTTCTCACCATCTTTATTTGAGTTTCACTTTGGTAAGTACTGTCCATCAATTTTTGAATATCGAAGTTATTTGAGGTCATTCATTCAAGGCAAACTGCTGAAAGTAAAAGCGAAATCAAGAAGAACCCCAGGGCTCTGAAGACTTTTCTTAACTCGTGGCCATTTTCTGCCTTTAAAAGCACTGACTTGACTTTTACAGGAGCCTGTAGACTAATCTAACAGAAAATGGAAACCACGAGCATGGTCATTCCCTTAAATATTTTATACTGTGTTCGGATGTGCATTTTTCAAAGATCATTTCCTTGACATTTTCTGGGGGTATATTTCTTGGGAAATAAAATAAATATGTTTGGTGGATGCTCATACCAATTTATTTAGAGCTATAAATAAGATAAAGATGTCTCCTGTCATTGGTACTAAAATATATATATATAAGGATTAGAGGAATATCTTAGGAGGTTAGGGCAAAGAATTAATAATACTGTTCAGGTCATGCTGAGGTCTGCTGATGCTTTAAGGAATTTTAGCTGATCCTCAAGTGAATTACTCTTAAGAACGGACAAGAGAGACCCTTTGGCCAAAGCATGGGCCAGAGACAATGCCCTAGGCCAGACATTTCATTAGGGCCCACCGAGTGAAAGAATCTGATATCCTGGCTTTCCAGTCTATGAACATTGCACAACTTCCCCAGCTGTTCACTCGATTATCTGGTAGCCATTGCTCTGAATGTTTCCCTGGTGCCGGGAACAACATTTGACAGGTAAGAAATCCAATCATTCCGTTTGGAGTCTGTGAAAGGCAATCTCCCAGCAAGGAATCTATTCATGCAAGGATTCTATTCAATCATTGCATTGCTGCTGTGGGAGATATGATGGAGATGGTTTTCCTCAGGGAATGGCTGGCGGAGGGTGGAATGTGCAAGAACCACAAAGTACGTGACTTTAAGGCGAGAGTGTGTGTGTGTGTGTGTGTGTGTGTGTGTGTGCGCGCGCATGGGTGTGTCTGACTCTTTGTGACCCCACGGACTGTAGCCCACCAGGCTCCCCTGGCCGTGTCCTCAGGCCCATTTCCAGGCAAGAACACTGGAGTGGGTTGCTGTTTCCTCCTCTGGGGGACCTTCCTGACCCAGGGGTTGAAGGCGGCTTCTCTGTCTCTGAGCCGCCTGGGAAGCCCTTAGGGAGAGGAGAGGTGCCACGTCTGGGTTGGACAGCGAAGGCTGCAGAGAGAGAAGGGGCCAGGTCAGGGGTCCAAAGGAGGGGAGGAGGCTCTCTGGGTTTGGTATCCTTGAGGGCAAGGTATCCATGGCAACAGGAGGGGCAACAGCATAAAAGAGAACGCTTTGAAAGACAACACTTGGGCCACCTGATGCAAAGAA